AGCGATTCAACAGCACCAGGGTGCCTCAGAGACAGGTCGGTCCCCGAAGGACACGGGAAGGATGGTGGGATGTTGGGGCTGCTGAACGAGGGGCATGGCACAGCCTCGGGGACCCGTGGTCCTGGAGTGGCCCACCCAGGAGGCTACTCCCACTCTGCCACCCCAGCTGCCAATCCTACCCCACCCTCCTGCCTCTGGGCCCCAAAGCAAGGGCAGAAATGGGCTTCAGGGCTTCTCTGTTCACCTGGGACCCAGAACCAGGGACCCTTCAGCCTGGGTGGGAGAGCACAGCCAGCCCAGAGCTAAAGCCCCAGCGAAGAGTCAGTCACAAGAGGGGAGTCAGTCTGCAGTCAGGCAGTTAATGTCCAGCCTTTCAGTATGGGACTATGCAAGCATTTCAGGCTGCTGGATGAACTCTGTAAGGAGCAAATCTTCCATCCTCCACTTTGTAGCTACTCAGATGCCCTGTGGGGGGGCACAAAGCCAGGTTTTTGGAGCACAGCTGGCTACATGGGCTGCTGGTGACAGGCGGTGTGCAGGGGTGTGCCTGAGGTGACCAGTGGCACCAGCTGCATCCCTGCCAGGGCACTGGGGAAGGATGCACTGCCATGTCTAAATTACATGCCAGGACCAAGGGGACCAGGAGAGCCAAAAGAGCCTGTGGGAGGGTGTAGGGGGAGAGGAAACACACCAGCAAAGTAGCACTGGGACAGGGCAACAGATGATAGACAGGGATCAGGACAAGTGTGCTTGTGTGCTGGTTGTGGGACAGAGCAAGGGTGCTGGGCACTCAGGGTGGCGCTGGGCATTGGGCAGAGGAGCTGGGACATGAGCTGCATTGTTGGGTGGTGGGGCTGGGTGCAGGGTGGTGATGCTGGGATGGTGCCCTGACATTGTGTTGGGGGAATGCTGCTGAGCATAGCTGAAAGGTGATGCTGGGTGCTTGGCATCAGTGCTGGTCATGAGCTACTGAAGGGGCCAACTCAGGACCACTGGAAAAGGCTGGGGGGGCGTGCAGGGCAGGCAGTGCCAGACCTGTTTTGGGCTGCTACCCAGCCACTTTGCAGAGCCCTGGGAGGTTTCCTGAGTGCTGGGAAGGTCCTTAAGCGCAGGGTGACATTTGATGGCTTCGTGAGGCCAGGAACGGCCGTGGGGCTGGGGGCACCAGCACGTGACTGCCATTTCCCTGGCCAAGGGCTGTGGGACTTGGCTCAGAGCAAAGCTGCAGCTCTGCGGCTGGGACTGTGAATGTTCACTGTGACCTTCGGTACCTTGCCAGCCCTCCCAGAGCCATCGCGATTCCTCTGCCTCCTTTGGCCTCTTCCCTTTGGCAAACAGGATGTTTTTCCTGCCATTCTCAATGCAGCGGAAATTGCCCCAAGCTGATTAGTGACAACGGTGCCTTCAACTCCTTTGGCCTGTCTGGGAAGCAGGCAGCAACTCTGTGAAGAGCAGGGCAGGGACAAGCCAGCCTAGGGCAGCTGGGGGAGGCACTGGGGACCCAGGGAAGGTGCTGGTGGGTGTGATGGTCCCTGCTTTTCCTCTCCAAGAGCCGTAGAGGAAGAGCCTGAGGAACAATCCTGCTATTTCCACCCCAGCAGGACAGACAGATATGCAGCGAAGCTTCTCCCTTCTGCAGGAAGGGAAGCTGGGTAGGGACAAACAGGTCAAGGGACATTTTATCCACTGCCCTTTCAGGAGTCGCAGAAAAGTGGCTCTAACCCTGGGATGCACCCATAGGCTGTGACCTCTCTACAACCTTGGAGGAAGGGTCTTGGGCTGTGGTCTTGGGTAGCCAGGAGTTTGCCACCAGCCTGGTAAAGTCAAGCCCCCTGTGATGTCCCTGCAGCAAGGCCCACTTGTTCTGCCTCCCCCCTCGCCAGGTATCGTCGCTGGGAGTCACCACCTTCAGCCTCTGCGCCCTGGGCATCGACAGGTTCCATGCAGCCACCAGCCCCCAGGCCAGTGCCCGGCCCATCGAGCAGTGCCAGACCATCATCGCCAAGCTGGCTGTCATCTGGGTGGGCTCCATGACGTTGTCGGTGCCAGAGATCCTGCTGTGGCAGCTGGCACAGGACATGTCACCGGTGTCTGGCGTAGTGACAGAGTATTGCACCATGAAGCCCTCGTCCAACCTGCCTGAGTCCGTGTACTCACTGGTGCTCACTTACCAAAACGCTCGCATGTGGTGGTACTTTGGTTGCTACTTCTGTTTGCCCATTCTCTTCACCGTGAGCTGCCAGCTGGTGACCCGGAGGATCAGCGGCACTGAGAAGACCGAGTGCCGAGGGACCAAGCACAGCCAGTGCGAGAGTCACTTGAACTGCACCATCATCGGGCTGACCATCATCTACGGGCTCTGCACCACCCCTGAGAACGTCTGCAACATTGTGGTGGCCTACATGTCCCCTGACATATCCAAGCAGACCTTGGACCTGCTCAATCTCATCAACCAGTTCTTCCTGTTCTTCAAGTGTTCGGTGATGCCCATCCTGCTCCTGTGCCTCTGCAGACCCCTGGGCCAGGCCTTCATGGACTGCTGCTGCTGCTGCTGTGAGGGCTGCAGCCCCGATACTGCCTCCAGCGAGGGCAGCACTGACAGCAAGCTCAAAACGGAGATGTCCTCCTCCATCTTCTTCGACAAGCCCCGGGAGTCCCCTCCACCCCTCCTGGCCCTTGGAACACCTTGCTAAGTGCCATCGGGGAGCTGTAGAGATCATTCCACCACCTCCTCCCAAGACCAAATGTTTTGCCATTAGTGCCCGTGTCTGGATGTGGAGCAAGCAGAAGAGACAGCTCAGGGGCCTGCACCATGGGCTTCAAACCCCACATTGGGCAAGTGGGACTTGAAATCCCAGACCCCATGGCTACATTGTTGGCCTTCTTGCCTCTGCCCAAAGGCCAGCAAGGACACCAGCACCCTCCCATCCTGGCTGCCTGGCCAGGCTCAGAGGGGGTTGCTGCTCTGAGAGACGGAGTTGTGCCAGAAAGGTCCCATCTGAAACTACAGAGGGTTTCCATGGTGGCTTGCAGCTGACACAGCAAACACAAACTGCCCTCGTCCTGTCCCATCCCCTCCTGACAGCCCCCTCCGCAGTAGGAAAAGGTCCCAGCGACTCTATCCCACAGGATCCAAGCAGTGCCCTGTAAGAGCTCAATAAACCAGTACCCAAGAGCACAGTGTGCATGCAGCCATCCAGCACCGCCGAGCAGAGCCCCGGGGAGCCAGTGCTTGGAGTTTGGATGGCTCTTCCCTAAAACCTGGCGCCTCTGGGGTGGGCATGGGCGGCTGGAGAGGGGCATGAGGGCAGGACAGCAGCCGTGCCAGGGCAGGCAGTGCCGAAGGGAGGTGGGGAAAGGCCCCCAGCCCTTCTGCCCTGCTCCCTCCGGGGTGATGCTGAGCAAGCCAGTGCCAAGCCAGGCCCTGCGAGGGTCTCCTCCAAAGCACTGGGCTCGGGGTGGTTTGTAGGACTCTACCTGGTCCCAGTAAAGCCCAGCCAGCCCAGCTGAGGTGCTCTGCAGCCTGCAAGACAGCTGGTTCACCGTGAAGGCCCAAGGTGGTGCTGCTGTGCAGTGCTCGGGGAGGGGGGACACACACACCATGTGGGACCCTAGCACCCCTCAGGGAGCCGATGGGGTGAGCACATCTCCTCCAGCCAGCCCCGTGCGGGGCTCCTGGCCTTCATCCACCTGCCCACTGCAGGGACAATATTGTCCCAGGCCGATGATTTCAGGGCATTAGGGTTTCCAAGTCGCTGCCCAAGGCTCCCACACCAAGGAGGGGTTTCAGGGAGCAGCTGGGGCAGTGGGATCACGCTGAGGGCAGGCCGGCCATGCCAGCCCTGTCCACTGGAGCTGTTAAAGCTCCTTGTCCTGCCGCTGGCACCCACCCCAGCCCACGAAATGCCGGGGAGAGGGAGACGGTTGCTACGGCCGGGTGAATGCGAGGGGCTCACTGCAGGCTTTGTGCGGCATCGACACCCACCGGGCTTTGCTTTCGCAGCCCTGTTTCCAGGGAAACAAAAGCCCCAGTTTTCTTCTGAGAGCACAAAACTGGGTTTTTCCTTTCATCCCGCCCACCAGTGCCAGGCCCCGCAGTTTGGGAGCAGCTGGGGAGAAGAGGGGTCTCATCCTGGCACGGGGATGGAAGTGGGGGGCACAGGGCCCAGGCTGCCCCCTGTGCTCTCACCCCCTTGCAGCCCTATGGGGTGAGTGGAGTCCCTGTAGGGGTTTGGTGGCAGTGGAAGGGAGCCAGGGCGGCTCATGTGCTTGGTCTGTGCGGCTCTGTCCTGAGCCTGGGCCAAGGGTGAACAAAGCTGGGCTTGTTGCTGTGGCCCGGTGGGGATGGATGCGTGGGGAGGAGAGCCGGGCGGGGGGTGGGAAGGGAGGGCACAGGCAGCACCATCGTCACGGGCTGCAGGCAACCCCCGGCCCCATAGCAGGCAGAGCACCCCACGGGCTGAATCCCAGCCCTGGTCCCAGCCCCAGTGCCCGGGCAGCCAGGCAGGCTGCCCTAAGGCACAAAGCACAACACTGGGGGGGGGGGGGGGGGTGTCAGTGCTGGGGGCCAGCCCTGCAGAGGCCACGGTGCCAGGGTGCCCCTGCCAGCAGCGGCCATAGCCCCCAAGAGGGGGCTGGTGTGGGCGAGGGGGGTGGGGAGAGGGGACTGGAGCCTCGCCCCAATCCCACTGCAAACCCAGCATCGAAGCAGGGCACTGCGGCAGTCCTGGGACATGATGTGCGGGCGGGGGAAGGTCCAGCAGCAGTGACGGCTGCAGCCGGAGCTCTCCGAGCTTATTGTCAGACCCAGACCAAGAAAACGAGATGTCCAGAACCAAAAGAGTTGGCACCGGCACCTCTTGGGTGAGCACAACCATGCGGGTGTCTGGTGCTGCCTGGGGGAGGGGGTCCCCCGCCCTGTGCTCTGAGGCACGGGCACAGCACCAGGGAGGGATGGGTGACACTGACGGCGAGGAAGTAGTGTGACGGTAACCACACCCCACAACGCAAAATTGTTAATTTATTATTAGGATGCAAAAAAATTGTACAGTTACAAGAATCATTTCCCAACAGAGGTCAAATCTGAGCTAAAATATCTCTTAAAAAAAAAAAAAAAGGGGGGGGTGACAACACTTTACAATTCATTAAATTAAAAACAAAAAAAAAAAAAAAAGAAAAAGAAAAAGGAAACCTCTCTTTGTGCAATTCTGCAAAAACGAGAACAGAGCTGAGCTGAGCAGGGGAAGGGGCTGGGAGAGGGGCCCTGCAGCCCCCTGCCCCTGGGCCACCGCCACCCTCTTCCCCAGCCCTGAGCTGGGGACAGGCAGCTGCCTCCCCACTGTGCCACTGACCTGACCCACTACACACTCACCCTCCTGATGCCAGCATGGCCCCCCCCGCCCAGCTAAGTCCCCCCAGGATTGGCCCCAAACAACCTGGCCAGGCCCCCAGGATGTGCCTGCAGAGACCCAACAACTCACCACATGGCACAGCCTTCCTGACACCCCCCCTAGATTTGCACTTGTCCTCTCCCCACCTGTGGAGAAGGACCCCCCCCACGCCTCACCCAGCCCCGCCACCCCCTGCCCCACTGCCCCCATGTCCCTCAGTGGGGCCAGCAGAGCTGGGGGTGCTGGGGGGAGCAGGGCACAGGGAGCACCCCCCCGGCTCCAGCAGGCAGCGCTGTGGGCGCGCAGGGGCTCTCATGGCCCCGCACGTGTCTCCATGTGTCCCCCCCTTCCCTGGCACCCCCATGCAATGTCCTCGGCTGCGGCAGAGCCGGCAGCCCCCAGCTGGGTGCAGAAGATGCTTTTTGGCGTGTGGGGAGCCAGTGCGGCCACCCCAAGAGGCTGCGGGGGGGCTGAGCCACCTCCAGGGGTGGCTGGGGCAGGGGGGTAGGCTGCATCCAGCCCCCCGCGCCCCACAGGGGCTGCTGGTATCACTGGGCCCCCCTGCTCTGGCACTGACCCCTCGGATCACTGCCTCAGCACAGCGGGACTGGGCACCAGAGCAGGATTCAGCCCAGGCACAGGGGCCGGGGAGGGACGTGGGGCAGAGGGATGAGTGGCCCAGGGAAAGAAAGAGGGGTTGGGGCACAGCAGCTGGAGGGAACAGGGTGGAAGGCTGACTGCATCGGGCTGTGACCAATCCCCATCCCCCTGGAGGGGAAAGAGTCTGGAGGGTGGCACTGCCTCCCCACCAAACCCTGCCCATGGGGCCGAAGCCCAGGGAAGGGCAGGATGGGCGTGCTCCCAACACCCCCAGGGTGCTCTCTGGCCTTGGGGTTCAGGCAGGAAACGCAGGGAAGGGACAATGGAGCCCCAGGGGACCTGCCCGCAGCCTGGCACAGCTCCGTCCCCAAGGGGCTGCCTTCTGCCACCACCCTCATTTTTCTCCCAATGCTGACCCCTGGCCAGCCTCGGGGAGCCCACAGCCTTCCTACTGCTCACAGGGCCCAGTTTAGTAACAGCACTATCGCTTAAATTAAAAAATTAAAATATATATACATATATATATATACTGTATACACAGACAACAACAGAACAGTGCCAAAATGGGAAGAAGAGACAGAGAGAGGAGAGGAGGGGAGGGCAGTTGGACATTTTCTTTACAATAAAAACAAGGGCTCCACCTCAATACGAGTGGAGTCTGGGGTCCCCTAAAAATACCCATCTAGAGAGAGAGCTGGAAGGACAGAGCAGGAGAGAGAAGGGGCATGGGCTTGTACAATGGCATCTTCCCGATCTGAGCTGCAGTCCATGGGATCTCAGCTTCTCCTAGACTTTGAGTGCTGGATAAGCCACTGTAGGGTGATGTCTGTGAAGGCAAGGGGACACTTACAGCCTCTCCCTCCAGCTGTCACCCCCTCCTGCACTTGGGCAAACAGCCTGAGCACACTGCTCCCATGGGATGGGCTGCCCGCCCCGCCACACCCCAAGTGCTGCACCGGAGCCACCGGTACTCACCGATGTTGTCCTTTTCTTTGCAGGAGATGGAGTAGCAACAAATCTCTCGGTCCTGGATGGCGGAGAGGTTCCTGTGGGAGAGGAGTGAGCTCTGACTGCAGACCCCTGGGGCTGCGTGTCAGCGGATGGGAAATGCCTCCCAGCAGCCTTTTGCAGGGCCCTTTGGACCTCGGCTCCGAGATGGGGTTCACTTTACTGGGGCAACGTCTCCCCAGGCTCCCAGGGACCTGCATGTGGGTCAGGAGAGGACACCACCACACCGTGCCCATGACTGATGACTGTGCACAGTCTGTGGGGGCTATGTGATGGGGCAGGAGGGCCCTGACCCCACGGAGAGCCTGGCCACAAAACTGCACAGCTTCCCTCCCTAAACCTGTTGCACAGCCCTGTGGTGAGATCAGGCAGGGAGGGTTTGGGAGCAGCACAGGTCTGGCAGCACGGGAGCTGTATAGGTGCCCATCGGCCCAGGGAGATCTCTATGGGGTGGCTGGGAGTGGGGAGCAGAGCTGCTGCGAGTCAGTGCAGCATCCTAGTCCCCCTGCTGCAGGGAGGGGATAACTGCCAGCAGCATGGAGGTGGGCAGGAGGCAGCATCTGCTGTGAGGCGGCCACGCACCAGCATGGCAAAGGGTGGTGAAGCAAGGGAGAGGTGCATGGATGGTGTCACACACCAGAGCAGGATCCGCCCTCCAAGCAGGAGGGGCTGCCGGGGGCGTAGCGCCCGCACCCGGGAGCGGGGCCGAGCTGTGAGAGGGTGCTGGGAGCAGCACCCACGTGGGAGCCCAGCTCTGCCGCGCAGCACCGGGCCGGGCCCCAACGCCACCGTGTGGCACCCAGCCCCAGCACCGGCAGCTCCCAGCTCCAGACATCACCCCCAGCTGCCTTGCAACGTCCCCAGCCACCAGTGTCTGCCAGCCCGCTCCAGGCACCGTGATGCCACCCTGGCTGGGGAAGGAGAACTGGCAGAGCATGGCGGGATGACCGTGCTGGTGGGGACACGGCAGGAACTGGGGCGGGTCACGCTGTCACAGCCCCACCGTGGCTGCCCAGGCCACCAGCACACTTACATCTTCTCAATGAGCTCCTTCTCATCCAAGGCACCAGGCAGGTCTCGCTTGTTCCCCAGGACTAGGACCTGCAGGGCAGAAGAGGGGACACCTGATGCTCCTGGCCACCACATCAGGCAGGATCCTGCTTGAGATGCCAGACAGCCCTGGCTACTTCACCAGGGTGTGCCCAGACAGAGAAAACCCCTTCAGCAGGCAGTCAGAAGGCAGAGCACTTCAATTAACAGCCTTAATTAGCACATACGAAGCCTCTCCTGTGTACTCTCTAGTCCCAGTGAGAAGCTGGCCCCACAGCACATACTCCCTAAAGGGCACCAGCAACTGTCATGCCACCTGGGACATTTTCCCAGGAGTCTCTTGCTGTCTTTGAGCAAAAAGTCAAGTGAAATGGCTAAAACCAACGTTATCAGGAAGAAGCGAGCTGTGGATGCTGTACAGAACCTGTTCTCTGCAGGCAGCCAGCATGAAAAAGCAATGACTGACTGCACCATCCACTGATCCTTCCTTACTTCAAGGCTTTTCACAGCCACAAAGGCATCCTCAGACTATGCAGGGAAAATCACCCAGCAGGACTTGTTCATCCCTCCAGAGCATGCCACACAACTGTCATCTAAGGACAGCACTGAGGCTGTGACCACCTTCCCGGGGTGAGTTGAGGCCTCTGTAGCAGCACGGTAATGCAGCATCCCTCAATTTAAATTTGGAGACTTGTTCTTAAAAAAGAGCACTCAGAAGGGCTGCAAATGCATCATGTTATGTCGGGAGCTTCATTTAGTTGGCAGCGAATGTTTGGGATCTGTGGCGAGATCCTTAAATTAGCTCCTTTCAAAGAACGCCAAGGTGGGATGCTCTGTAAGCATCCCGCCCTGGCATGCGCAGTGTGCCCTGCATCGCCGCCACAGCCCACCCCCTGCAAATGTCACTGCCCAGCAGCCACTTTCCTAGGAGACATGACCTTAAAGTCTCACCATAAATAAGGTGCAATTTCAAACAACAGAACAGATCTCACACATCCTGGGGTGTTTCTGATCTCTCCTAAAGCTCCCTCTCCTATTGGTTGGCCCAGCCCTGGGATAAAAAGCCTCACTGCCCCAGCTCCCACAGGAATGCAGCTGGGAGGGGGACCCCCCCCAGGAAGGGGATCCCCTCCCCACATCTGCTCCGCAAGGTGCAAGCCCCTTGCTGCAAACCCTGGCAGCCACCAGCCTGGGGATTGCAAGTGGCTGGGGGATACCGATCCAGGCAACAGCTCACCGGGATGCCCTGGAGCTGCGGTTTGTCGAGCAGATTGTGCAGTTCATTCTTGGACGCCTCTATCTTTTCCTGGTCGGCCGCATCCACCATGTACCTGCAAGGGAAGGGACACCCCTAAGCGCAGGCGTCGAGGTCCCCGCGCCCTGGTGCTGTGCTGAGGTCTGTGCCACCACCAAGCTTTGCTGACACGGCAGCTGCACCGTCCCCGCTGGCTCCCGGGCCAGTGCATGGAGGTGATGGAAGGCGGGGACCCTTCCCCTGGGCACCCTCTTCCCGAGGAAGGCTGTGGGGCTGAGAGCCCCTCGTATCTCCCGGGGGAGTGGTGGACCTCCCTGTCCCCATCCCCACACAGAACCACTCCGTTGACAGCAGGGACACGGTGACAAGGGAAGCCCAGGCACTGCCTGGGCAGAAGAAGCTGCAAGACACACGTTGTCCCTGAGCACCCAAGTAAGGTTCATCTGCACGTGGCAGCTCCTATGGAGACACCCAGAATAAAGGACAAGAATAGAGGAGACAAGAGGAGCTGATGATGGAGAAGATGAAAAGACACCGTGCTGAGAGGGGAAAGACCTGCTCATCCTCTTGATGGGAGTAATCCTGGGCATGGGACACAGAGCAAAGGGCAGGGACAAAGCCAGCAGTTCAGCAATGCTTGTTCTGAGCAGACAGGGGAGATTTAGGGAAGGATTTAGCTCTTATGGGTGGACACCCATCCTGCAAAGGACAATTAAGCCAAAACTGGGGAGAGGAACTGATCAAAGCAGCGTTTAGTTTAAAGATCAATAAGCTGGGAGAGAAGAAGTGTGAAATACCGTCAAGTTTCATCAGGCCTTGTGGGGTTTATTAAAAATATGAAGGAGCCTTTAGCTATTGAAATGCTGAACACAGGAAAATGTGTATGGCTGTACTGAGAGGGAGAGGGAAAAACACCACCCAGGCACTGCCACAAGCCTGTGGCACACTGGACGGGGCAGGAGGGTTGAAGGCAAGAGAAAAGGGATGTGACACAGTTTGAGGCAAGAAAGGCAGACTGAAGCATGACCTGGATGGCCACAGGTCCTTTCGTTTCCTCTCAACGTGACAGGCCACTTTGGAAAAATTATGAAATTATGGAAGGAGGCAATAGAAGAAGTGGAAAAAAAAAAGTGATTTTGTAATTTCCAGCAAAGCTTGCTGTAATAAAAGGTGTCAACGACATGTCCTGACAAGGTGACAATCAGCAAGGGCAGGACCAGACATGGCTGTCCCAACAAGCAGGACAAGCAGTCCCTCGCTCCTCCTCACCCTTCCAGACCCACAGTTGGGAAGGGCAGTACAAAAATTCAGCCTGTCAGAATCCCAGAGCATGGTCAATTGGTGAAGACCACATAAATCTGATCTTCTGATTGGGTTTAAGTAACCCTGGTGTGGTCTCCCAGGGTAAATATTTGTCCTCAGGAGCAGGCAGCTTGCTTCCCATGAGTGTCTTGCCAGGCTCATTCCCAGCCTGGACTCCCTGGGACTGTGCTTACTGCAATGTTTGCAAGCAGGGGACATGCAGGAACAGTCAGCAGCAGACATTGCATGGAGACTCCTTTTCTCAGCACAAGATTCATTTGGCAGCAGATAACCACCATGACCTGAAAACATGCTGCTGGTGGCTACCCTTGAAACCAGCCCCTTGGAAAGGGCTGAGCCACACCACCTGCCTTCACTCAGCCCCTGCAATGAACAGGCAGCGCAGAGGCAGCACGGGAGCCAGGAAGGGCAAGATCCAAGGAACAGAGTTGGGCTGACAGATGCCAGAAGGGAAGGGTCTGCCACGGCTGGCAGGGACCTGGTTGCCCTGTGCTCAAAGCCTGTGGGGGCACCAGTCCCAGGGGGAAGCATCTCAACTCCCAACACAGGTGTCTGGCTCTAGCAGCGAAGGCACCGCAGCTCCCCAAGCTCAGCTTTGCCCAGCACCCATGGGTGGGGTGATGGGACCATGCCCCCACCCGCTGGCAGGGCTCAGCACCAGCGCGTGGGCAACAGGGCTCTCAGCTCCCAGGGATACTCACACGATGGCACTCACTCCACGGCAGTACCGCTCCCACATGCTGCGAAACCGTGGCTGGCCACCGATGTCCCAGAGCTATGACAGGAAGAAGGTGGTGTTACCCCACCGTCCTGCCTGTGACCCTTTCCCCATGCGTCCACCCGGCCAGAGGGCCAGGCATGCACCAAACCACCCCCCACCCCCTCCTCTTCAGCTCAAACCTAGCGAGGAGGCTCCCAACTCGATAAAGAAAGGAGACATCTCAGGAATGGCAGCTGGAGGGTGTCAAACACCTCCTGCAATGTGCCTCTGCTGGCATGCAGGGACCCCTGGCCCAAGCTGGGGTGCTCCCCTCCATGCACACCGCACCCCCTGGCCTTTCAGTGATGCATTTGCCGTTTCAAAAAACTCAGCACGCTCTTGAAAACATTTCTGCAGCAGAGAACCCCAATCAGCTTTTCAAGCCCATTCCATCATTACCTCCAAGTCCAACTCCAGGCCCTTGAAAGATCCAGAAGGGGTAGAAACCTCTTCTCCCTTTGCACTTGAGGCAGAGACCACCACTGCAAGCCATGACCTGTTTTTCCCAGTGCTCCCGCACTCAGCAGGGAGACCACATCCATGCATCCCCACCAGCAAACCAGAGGTATAAGAAAACCTCCAGCTTTTCAGCCTGGACTGGCTCTTACTGCAGAGGTCTGGACCTCCTACATTCCTTCCCACTGTCTCCTCTGGTGGGTACCTGCAGGAGCCTAACAGGGCAGATCTTCCCAACTGCAGCTGAGGTGGCTGGCATCCTTCAACCTCCAGCAAAAGACCGACCAATTTCCCTTCACTCCATCTTTCATCCCAAGAACCCCCACTGGCAATAACATCTGCACCTTACCTTTATGGTAACGTTCCCCTTCGTGATCTTCCTCATGTTAAACCCCACCGTCGGGATCATGTCTTCATTGAACTGCCCTGACTGCAAGGAACAAGATGAAACAGCATTAGGAGGCACAGAAACCCTGCCAGCCTGCCTAGAAATAACCCCAAACACCCTGCTAGCCCAGCAGCAGGCACGGCATGACCCTCCTCCAGGTCCACACCAGGAGGAAAATGAAGAGCCAAGGTGACAAAATGCCTGCAGGATGTAAATGCTGCTGCTGCATGGGGTGCAGGGTGCCCTGGGTACGCCAGCAAAGCCCCCGCAGTAAGATGATGTCTCAGTGAGAGTGGTAGAGGTTCACACGAATCAGCCCTGTCCAGGCAGCATTCCCAAGATCTTCGCAGAAGGAGGCCAAGACCTTTGCCTGCTGCAGTGACCTCCGATCAGCCATGCCAGGCCCAAATCCCTCCTGCAAAACCCACTGGCAGCCCCGTAAGGACCCCCATGGGGTGCTGGTAGCCAGCCAGTCTTCCCACCCAGGGGAACCGCCTCCTCCTACATTGGCTCCTTTTTGGCCACAAGTCCTGGGGTCTCCAGCACATTTCCTGTTTTGGATTATTTACAGCCCAGCCCAGCCCAAACCAGACTGACTTCTGCTTTCCTGCAAGTCTGCTGCCTGCCTCCATGGGGCCTCCAGCCCCTGAACCCTGCCCATGAATGAGAGCTGGATGCTCATGCCGGGTGATGTGGGGGGATGCAACGGATCCCCTTTCCTCCCTCCCCAACAGCTGCCAACACGTTTTCTCCAGCAGTGCAGATCTGAGTCACATCAGGCAGAAGCATGAAATCCCTGTGGATTTGCAGCACCCCAGTGCCACTGCAAAACTAGGTTAGTCTTGTCAGAGCTATGAGCAGGAACTGTCCCTCTGCCACCACGGCAAGACGCCAGCTCGCCAGCCCATGTGCCCGGCACTCCACCAGGACAGGATGGTGCTGGTCTGTTAAAGCCCACCCCACCTTCCAGTTGGCTGCTCAAATCCCCCCAGTGCTGCAAGATGATCCTGAGCTGAGCAGCGCTGGGGTATGTTCTGGGTGGCCCCAGCAGTGACATGGCATCCCTGGGGCAGGAGGCCAGAGCTGCCACAGCCCTCGACCCTCTGCCTCCAGCAGCCTCCCACCTCACTGGGACTCAAAACAGGTTTATCCTCTTTGCTTTTTAAATCCATCCTTGTGGAAGGCCCTGCTGCAAGATGCTGAGGAAGCTGATGGAGAAGAGGGTCTTATAACCAGGATAACATGGCACTGGAGCTTTTGGCCATCAGTGTCAGGAACCCGCAGGAACCATCAGCCACGACAAAACTAATCCCTGCAGCAATTTACTGGCTTAAAATCTTGGTTTCTCTAGGACTTTTCTGGGTTTTCTCTCAGTTAACACAAACCTCAAAAAGGGAAGGTAATTTATTCCATTTTCTGATAAGCAGAATTTTGTGACATCAGCAAGTCCCCAGGGTCTTCCTGACCTCTTCCAACAGTTCTGCAATACACATCACTTCCCTTTTTCATTTCCCTTTTGCATTCATCAGCAAAGCCTGGCAGCCAAAGGATCTCCAAGCCACAGTGCACCCAGAAACCATGCTGGGGACTGGCAGGGAGGGTGAGGGGGGAGAGGAGGGGAAGCAGGCAGGAATCCCTCTACCACCAGCTGACATGGAGGATGTCTCCTGTGGACTGAGGTTCAGCACACAATTTGGTTTTATGGACCAGGTTTTAAAGAATTATCAGGCTTTGATCAAAAGACATGGAGAGCAATGGCTGAAGAGCTCTTGGAAGCTGTAGGCACTTCCATTGGGGATCCCGGACCACATCACAGTAACCGGCTGTGCCAAAGCCACCCGAGACATGGTTCATGTGTGACGGCAGCTCTTCTTCCAGGAAGGGATGGGCTGCAGGAGACTGGAGTCACCTCTGCTTTCCCTTGCGAGATATGGGAACAAGCATGTCTCTGTGAGCAAAGCACAGCCTTACTCCCTGCCTCAAATCCTTCCCCCACCATGGCACCTGCCTCCAGGCTGCCCACAGCCAAGGGACCAACACAAAACCACTTGTGCTGTCTAAAAAAAAGCCAGGCTGGGAACACAACACGTTATGGTCCAGGATGGCTTGCATGTGGTCCTTGCTCTCCTGGCACCTGCGGCAATGTCTTCAATGCACTGCAACATGCTCAGCTCCTCCTGCATCAGCTGCTCTCTAAGAGCAACTTTGAACGGTGGAAGCATGATGCTCCCTCTTCCCTCTCCACCTCTCCCAGATCCTGACACCCCCGGCACATCTTCAACTACCTGCAGGGTCCAGCCACCTGCAGCTCCACTGCCAGGGAGAGCAGAGACCAGCCCAGCTGCAGGCATGCAAAAGCTTCGCTGGACACATCTCTCCCCAAATTTTAGTTATGCAATGGACACAGCATCTACACTGACCTCAGAGATCATGCCCAGCCACACCGATCACTTGGGAATAGGATTCCTCAGGGAATCACAAAAATCCTTGCAGGCAAGAGGGATTCTGTGACTGTAACAGGTGGATCAGGTCTATGCAGGCTCTAGTTCATTGCTGGTTTTGCCAGGGTCCCCTCAGCACTCTGGTCAAACCACCCTGCCTTGGTGCCCCGTCTGGAAGACAAACGGCCTTTCCACCCAGCCCTACCAGTTTCCAGCTGGGTTACTGGGAGAGGCAGCCAGGATCCAGCTTTTGCAGGGGTGAGCAGTGCCCCCAGCTCACTCTGAGCCCCATCCTCTGCCGCATGCACATGGACACCATGTCACCCACAACTTCAGCCATTTCCTCCTGCTCAGCCGGGACCTCGGCTCACTGGAACATGCAAAGAAACAAGCTCACACCACATGCACCAGCGTGCAGAGCTGAGGTGGCCAGGCCCTGCTCCTTGCTGCGGCCAGGCAGCTGTCACCTTGTCCCAGCACAGGATGACACTGCTTTGATGCGACCTGCTCTCAATAAATCGCTGCTGGCTGGTTTGCAGCCCCATGTCCCCAGGTGCTCACAAACAAGCCATTCCCCAGGACTGGAAACGGCAGCACCCAAAGCCCAGTCCCTGGTTGTCTAAAGTCATGTCTCCACCAGAACATGGTCCTCCATGGGGCAGAGGCGGATGCCCAACGCATCCCAGGTTGGATGGCTCCCACCGGTGCCTGGACCATGGCCCAAACCACCCAGCCTCATGCTCTCGCAGGTGTTTCCCACTGCACAGCACAGCCGAGTCCCCGCCAAACCCTGTCCAAGCTCCAACCCAGAGAGAAACATAGGGGGTTTAATTTCTCACCTGTAACCTCCCCGTCCAGCCCCCCCAACTGGCTTTCTGTACAGTGCAGGTGGGGAGTGCCTGGCAGCTAGGAGCTTCACCTGCAAAGTCACTGAGCTTCCAGGAGCTCTTTCGCATCACCAAGCCGAGCCGAGACAGCCCCACAGTACTCAGCTTCGCTCCGAGTACCTCATTTGGGTGGGAAAAAGCCAAATTCAAGCCAAGTCTTTTACAAGATTTCCCTTTGACAGCGGGTCTTACAGCTCTTTGGGACTCTGGGCATTGCAGGGCACCTATGGCATGGAGCCCCATGTGCCCCTGCAGAAAGCACTGGAGGGGACAGGGCTGTCCCTGAGCACAGCACAGCCCTCCCAGGGAACCCAGAGACCTGGGAAGGGAGGCTGCCACCTGGAGCTGGGTGGGATGCAGCTACCCCAGGACAAGGAGGAAGAGCTACATGGGTCTGAAAATGAAACAATCCTGACTTTTGCCCCAAATCCTCAGCATGGTTTGGTTTCAAAACCTCCATGCAGAGGGATCATGCTGAAGTGACCTGTGACAGCCAGACCCCCTCTATCCCAAAGCAGGTGTCTCACCACCAACACCCACAATCAACATACACGGTCTGGCTCTGCAGCACTCCTCAGCTTGGAAATTCAACATCTCAGGCTTTTGGCACGGTGGAAAACCCCCAGGACCCTCCAGGCCATGCTCCTGTTGATGCTACCACAGCCAAACTAGGCTGTGCTGCCCTCCCTGAGCCCATGGGCCCTATCTCCAGAGAACTCTGTATCTCAAGAGCAAAAATGGATTCCAGGAACAAGCCTGTGGATGGCAGCCAGGCCATACGCCAGTGGATCCCGGAGCACAGATGAGGATGCTGCCGGTAAGCCCACAGGTCCCAGGCAAGATGATGTTCTCCAGGACAGATTCATCCCTCTCCCTGCAATGCAGCTAATGGCTTTTTGGTTATTTTTAGACCATGGTATCACTGAAGATCAGTTTCTTTCATAAAAATGAGGCTTCTCAGATGAAAGGGGAAAATCCTTGGGCTGCTTTTGCTTCTTCAGCATTGCACCACAGCCTGAAACACCCTGGATGGTGATGCTGAGGCTGCGCTGACCCAACACCCTGTTTGAGGCAGAGATGCACAGGCACACATAAGGTGCTCCCAGCAGCTCCCCAGGGATGCACTGCACACCTCTCAACTCCAAGGTGGAAAAGGCATCTCTATATAAGAGCTGCAGCAACGTCTGCTCCCACCTCCATCCAGACAGACCACGCAACTGCCTACAAATTTATTAGTGGTTGCTCTCATTCAGGATGTGTCCATAATGAGGCAGCATCTGGACAGAGGAACAGACTTGGTAGCCAGATGAAGCGCTGGTGGCTCTAGAGTGACTGCTCACTGCTGGCCCAGGCTTTGGGGTGATGTACATGTGCAGCTCCCACCAGCATCAGCAGGGAGTCTGCTATAGAAACTCTGGTGAAAAGCAAAAGCCTCTGGATTCAAGCAAGGCACTGAGAAGGTCCCCTCCTGTGAACATGGGGAGTGACGTAGGACAGGACTGAGGCAGAGCTGCTCTGCCGCTGCACATCCCCTGCAACGCAGGGGGCATCAGACAACACCTTTGGAGGACTCCAGATCCTCTGGGACAAGGCAAAGGTTGCAGCTTAGCAACTCTGCCCTTAGCATCACCCTCTTGAAGGAAACAAAAGCGGCCTTTCTGATATTCTGTGCATATCTCCAAACACGATGGACCCACACGAGCTGGCTACGTGG